GTACAAAGGTAGAGATTAAATTTTTGGTCAGTTGATCCAACCTTCCGAATTTCATAACGATCAGCCGCAAATATGTTATAGCTGCCATATAACATAACGATTACGTTATGATTGTTACGTTACGGATTACGTTATACATTTCCATAACGATTGGAAATGGTATTTGGTAAAAATACCAACTTTGGAATTTTTTGAAGATAAAATCTTGGGACTTTTTTTTAGATTTTTCTTGTAATAAATAAGTATTGATATTCTCAATAAGGTCGACCAACTATATACGATGTTTGCGATATATTTATATCCGGTTTTGGCTGCAAGGGTATATCAACTTTGGCTCCGCCCGAAGTTAGCTTTCCTTTCTTGTTTATCATAATAATTTGGTTATATTATGATATTCTCATAAAGATCGGACAACTATATCCGATCTTTTCAATATATATACGGTTTTAACTTTTAATATCAACTTCGGCTCTGTCCGAAGTTAGGTTTTTTTTCTTGTTGCTTATATTTAAAACTTATATTCTGCATTTTCTGTATACTCCGGTTGAATAGAAAACTAAACAAATTTTGTAAGTTTTTGCTACATATTTTTTAAATTTTTTTTAAACAAAAAAAAAAACAAAAGGGTAGTCTCCAAAAATTGAATAATTTTATTTTTAACACATAAAGTCCAGAATATAAAAGAAAAAATAACTGTTTAGTGATTCCACTTATAAAACGATGCAATTTATTGCCCCGCTTCCCAATGACTTCGCTAGGTTGAATCACTAACACACAGCATAAACCCAATAACGAATACCCGAATTTTGTAAGGGTAGTAAGCCTGAAATCCCTTCAGTACCATACCTCAAGAATTACTCAAGGAAACGCCGAGGTAATAGTATTGCCCCCCAAGGAATCCTCGGGGTATGTTTCCTCGCATCGAGGAATTCGAACACCTCAAGGAATTCCTGCAGTTATTTGAAGAGCATTTCGAACTAAATCCCCTAGGGAATTCCTGGGGTATACTCTCAGTAATCTTTGAGGAAATACCCCAAGGAATCCCTGTGGTATGCCGTGAGGGATCTGTAAGGAATTTCACACACCCATAAAAATTTGGAAACGCCTTTAATCTCTTCTTCCCACTAACTCCGTCAATATTGTACTGGACGATCAGGTCCTCGACGAAAATATATTTTAACGATTTGGTTAGGGGTCCGCGCTTCAATATATTGGTCACTGCGGTGGTCTGCAAAAATTAATAGGTATTAAACATTTTTTTATATTTAATTTATAAATATTATACTTACACATTCTTCCTTCATTCCGCGGCCTTAGGCGAATTCTAACGCTGCCAATGCCTCGTCGGTGCTGGTGGCCTTTCTAATAAATAAGTTCATTATATGCACTACTCACCAGAATTAGTTATTATCACCAGGTATTATCACTTAAACGTTTTTTAAAAAATTTAACTTTAAACGCAACAAACAAACGCGTGTAACTTTTATGCAAATTGAACATCAAATGCAAAGAGAAGGGGAGAGGCAAGACGAAACCGAAAATTGACAACCGATAATTCTGGCGCGAGCCAGGGTATAGTCGACCAACGCAATGCCTTGTAATTAGAATCGCACAAGGCAAATAATCAAACATGAACATTTTGGCTTTGCCTAAAGCCAATTATTAATACATTTCAATATACCATATGATTAGATAAGAAAAATTAATTAAATATAATCTTAAATATATATAAATATTTCAACATATTTTAAAAAGGGTATTCTGACGTCGCTTCCATTCATTTGGATTTCGACACCGATTTTTTTTCTCTCCCTTCCCTCCATCTACATCTCTCTAATTGTCTCTCTGTCGCGTGCCTCTGCTCTAAAACTATGACGTAGAAGCTTCGAGAATCATCGCCGAAAACCGAAAGCAGGTAGAAGTTTCGTTTCCCCTTTCGTTTCGGACTTGAGTAAACGAAGCCCATGCAATTTGTTTTTGTTTTTCGAACATGTCGCCAGGAAAAGTCGGGGAAGGAACTTTTGGTACTGAAGGGATGTTACAAAAATGAAAATTTTGTTCGCTGGCTTCGAAACGAAATCGCACGCACACATGCCCCCGTGTATGTGAATGTGTGACACGCATACATACGAAGATTAATCCAAGCGCAGACAAACCTTCTTCATCGTGCTCCTGTCAGAGTCTGAGAAACAGAAAGCATTCAAAGAGAATATGAGCGTAAGATGAACGAACGATGAGCGTAAGAAAGAAAGTAAGATTTTCGGTGTCGCGCAAGAAATTTTTGCGTCCATTTTTATACCCTTGCAGATGGTATTATAATTTTGGTCAAAAGTGTGCAACGCAGTGAAGGAGACATCTCCGACCCTATAAAGTATATATATTCTTGATCAGGATCACCTCCTGAGTTGATATGAGCATGTCCGGCTGTCCGTCTGTCTGATTCTACGCAAACTAGTCTCTCAGTTTTAAAGCTATCGACTTGAAACTTATATATGAAAGCCGGCTATATGCTATAGCTGCCAAATGTTGTACCAACTACCACATTGGCGCATCGAAAACAGAAACGAGTAATCGAAATTGAAATTTGGAAGCCAAAACATTTTTACTCCGTCGTGCGAGCAGTCACACATACACACATAGGTTCACATTTTTGTTGACGGATACATGGAAAGAGTTCTAAAAATAGAATCGTATGTATGTGCGTTCCCCCCTCACCAACAAGCTCGACGCAAAAAGTTGACCGTTTTGGGCCCTGATGTCCCATCTATGTACTTTATAATCTTTGATCGTAGTAACCAAGCTGTTGTTCGTAAATACCTCGTCCAACTAGAAAATCTGTTCACATCAGGTAGAATCGGTTCATGTTTTGCTTCAGTCATAGCATTTACATATTCGTTGGAGTCGTCTTCTGAGGTTATATTCGTTGGAGTCGTCTTCTGAGGTTATTTTATTTGTTGGCCACTCGACAATATCTTTGTACAGGAACTCCGGCCCTTTTATCCATAAATTGTTTGCATTAAAGTCTATCTTTGTGAACTTCGTTGCTTCATCAGCAGGATTTATTTTAGAAGGAACGTATCTCCAGTTTCCGTCATTAGTTGTTTCTTGTATTTCACCTAAACGCTGAGTTACAAAGGTTTTAAATCGTTTGCTGCTAGACTTTAACCAATACAAAACAATTTGAGAGTCCGTCCATCATATACTTTACTTATGGGTAATTGTAACGATTCCAAAAGTGATTTGCTCATTCTAGCTCCTAGCAAGGCATCCTGTAATTCCAGGACCTCACGCTTAGTTGGTCGTCGGGATGTGTTTACTATTTCATTATGTGATTTAGTAAATTGTAGATTATAGATAAATGTGTCGTTTTCGTAATTCCAAATTAACCCCAAGACACGTTCTTCTGTTAGTGTTTTCATTTTGGCGAAGCCTGAGCTTTGTTGTGACAATTGAGTGGATCTATTTGGTTGAGAACCTCTACTGAATTTGATATCCAGTTACACATCTGGAATCCGCCTTGTTTGTGAACAAATGATACGTCTTTAATCAGTTGAACGGCGCTGTCTATGTCGTCAGCTCCGCCCAAGTAGTCGTCCATATAATGATTTAATAATATGTCTTTACAGGCTTTCGGATACTTTTCCTTAAACTCATTTGCGTTGTGATTTCTAACTTGTTGTGCGATACTCGGACTGCATTTTGCTCCAAAAAATAAAACTTGAATTTCATAAACGTCCGGAGGGTCATGTCTTTTATTCTCTCCCTAAAATTCTTTGAGCTTTTCTGTCTTTTTCTGGTACTTCAATTTGTAAAAACATTTCTTTTATATCTCCTACAAAGGCTATTTTATTTTTTCTAAAGTTCATGAGAACTGAATATAGTTGAGTATAAAGATCGGGTCCGGGTAATAAGAAATCATTTAAGCTGTAGTTATGGATTTTAGAAGCGGCATCGAATACTATTCTCAATTTTTCGGGTTTATTGATATTTTGCACACCGAACTGGGGCAGATAATAGGTTAGTTTTGTTTCATATTTAGCTTCTGTGGGATTTAACTTTTTTAAATACCCTTTCAAAATATAAGACTGCATGTCTTCATTATATTTTTGACCATACTCAGGAATTTTGTCAATTTTCTTCTCACATGACAGTAGCGTAGAGAAAGCGTTCTTATAACTTTCCGGAAGCTAAATGCTATCATTTTAACCCTGTCAATAACCCTGTCGTCTTCAGTTTTTTGTTGTGTGCTTTTATCCTTTTGATGGTTTTTTCCTTGTAATTTCTTTTTTGATCCTGTTGGTGCCATAATGCTGTCCGCGTCTTATTCTACCGTGACAGAGATCGTGGTGAAATTATTTTTTTTTGGCGTCGCAGTTATTCCTCGAATTTACTAACACACACAACCTTAGTCGTCTTTTTGTGAGTGTGTAGGTAGTCTGGGCCAATAGCGAAATCTATTTCACAACTCATTTGCTGTTCAGTTTACATCGTAGCACCATTGTTCGGGGTTTACCTGTAGTTATATATTAATATCCGGATCGAATGACCATTGTTGGGGGTTTACCTGTAGTTATATATTAATATCCGGATCGAATGACCGAAAATAATACGCAGGCTTTTGACTTGGATTTTTATCTATACCGCTATTGACGCTTCGCTTTATTTCACACATACTTATATATATATAACTTATTTTTAATGTTACCATTCTTATTTTTTAAATTAATCTTTTGAAACTTAATTGTTAGGTATTTTTGAACACTGTCTCTTCCCGTCATCTTTTTAAATTCAAATAATAAGAAATAGTAACATTAATATAACAATTGATAAATAATGAACGAAAGATCAAGAGCAGAACCCTAAGCGACTAAAAATTTACACAAGAAAAATTTGCTATTTCTGTTGAGCCAATATACATACAATATGTTTTTAATTTAATTAAATGAATATGATGATTGTTTTGTGTAAGCTTTATGATTTCAAGCATCATTTTTTTTCAGGGGAAGTGGAACGATTACTTAAGGAATACAGGCAAAACCAGGAGCTTGTACGAAGAATTGGGGGTCATTACTACCAAATAATATATCCGGTGCAGTTACGACACCATGAGAAAATGGGAATTTCGACTCGCGAAATTAGTTCAGCAAAGGTAAGAAAAATAAGTACATAAAATACTTAAGTACGTAAACTGATATAATATATGTACATCATATACAACATATAAAATCATATACAATACAATATTAAAATTTATCAATTTATAATATACATTTTATTTATTTGTGAATACAAGTATTTCTATAAAAACATTGAAATTCTTTGCTCGTGTACCTAAGCCGTATAAGCTTTAAAATTTGAAGCGAATACAGGTGAACGCTGAACAGCCAGGCTTGAAAAATCACTATTTATTTCACTATTTAAACATCACGTTTATACTTATAGATAATACTGTTTATTGACCGTACAACCATATGGTAATACACCACGCCATGGTAATCGAAGAAAACAGTGATAAAAACTATGACATTTGATCGAACTTGGCGTGGTTTTTTCGGTCTTTGGTGACCTGGTCTCTTCCATTGGGACGATTGGGCATTGGTTTCGATATCATAACCATATACCCATAATTCGTCACCAGTTATGACCCTTTTGAGTAAATCTGGGTCGTCGTTGACGTCATTCAACAGCTCTTGAGCGATGCTCATGCGACGGTTCTTTTGGTCAAAACTCAGCAATTTCGGAACAAACTTCACTGACACACGACTCATGCCCAAAACGTCTGAAAAAATTTCATGGCACGGGCCAAGCGATATACCGACATCTTCAGCAACTTCTCTGATAGTAATTTGACGATTTTCCAAAATAATTTTCTTCGTTTTCATCAGTTGTTGACGTGCTTAGGCATCCAGAGCGAGGCTCATCATTGGCATCTTCCCGGCCATCTTGGAAGAGTTTGTACCACTTGTAAAAATTTTTATACCCTTGCAGAAGGTATTATAATTTTGGTCAAAAATGTGCAACACAGTGAAGGAGACATCTCCGACCCTATAAAGTGTATATATACTCTTGATCAGGATCACCTCCTAAGTTGATATGAGCATGTCCGTCTGTCCGTCTTTCTGTCTGTTTCTACGCGAACTTGTCTCTCAGTTTTAAAGCTATCAACTTTGCACACACCCTTCTTTCCTTTGCACGCAGTATATAAGTCGGAACGGCCGGGATCGGCCGACTATATCCTATAGCTGCCATATAACTGAACGATCGGAAGTGACCCAACTTTTGTGTTTTTGAAGATAAAAAGCTGGAACTTAGTACAGATTCTAGTTAGGTCAGTTAATCCGACCTACCAAATTTCATAACGATCGACCGACTATATCTTATAGCTGCCATATAACTGAACCATCGGAAATGGTTTTTGGTTGAAATACATACTTTGGTATTTTTGAAGATAGAAGCTTGGGGTTTTTTTTTCGATATTTTATTGTAATTCATTGGTTCTATTATGATATTCTCATAAGGATCGGCCAATGTTTATGGAAATGGTTTTTGGTTGAAATACCAACTTTGGTATTTTGGAAGATAGAAGCTTGAGACTTTTTTTAAATTTTGTATTACATATAATAAATTGGATTATATATTCATATTCCCATAAGGATCGGCCAACTATATCCGATGTTTGCGATATATATCCGGTTTTAACTGCAAGGGTATATAATATATATATATTATATATATATATATCGGGCTCCGCCCGAAGTTAGCTTTCCGTTCTTGTTTTATTTATTATTAAAAGTGATCTGTAATTCTAGTTGTTATTTTATTGTTTTCTGTGTTATTATAACTAAAAAAAAGGTTAAATTAAGCTAATAGAGAATCAAAAAATTTATATTTAATTATATCTAGAAATAATAAAGGGGATATTAAATTGGAAAATAGGTTGTAGTTTTCACAAATAACACGGAAGGGATTGTGTTCGGCAAAATAAGATATTCAAATTGGTAACCAAAGGTGTCGGAAGGAACTAGTAGGTCCTTTAGTTTTTTAGTAGTAGGTAAACTGCAATTGAACGTCATAGCCTTACACTTTGAGCAGTTAAGGAAGAGTAGATTACTTGAACAGAACAATTAAACTTTTTTAAGGTCCAATTGCATCGAAATCAGGTCGGTCAGGTCGAAATCGCATCGTCGTCGCATGCAGACGTGTATTTATTGTGCTCCGGGAAAAAGTATTCAATAATATACAAAAAAAGGAGTGACTGGTTTCGTAAATCAACAACAACGCGAAAAGACGCTTTCAGTGATGAAATCGCTGTTTTAAATTAATATAAAACATAACATTTAAAATTAGAACAAACTCAAACTCGATTGCAATAAGTCTAAACGACGTTCGCACACAACTTCAACGTGAGCAAGACGAGAGACGGCTCTCAGTACAAAAACAACGCTTACTTCTCTTTTAAAGCAAACGAAAATAATGCAACCTCTTTCCAAACACGGTCAATGACCCCAAACTTGACCGAATTCTGAAACGTAGAGAGCGTGAGAGCGCGTTCTTGCTCCCCCTCGCTACCATCGATGTCTCTGCGCAGAGAGCGCCCAAAGAGCGCAGTAACTAGCACAGTAACTAGCACTTCTTTGACAACGTCAACCGTAACAACAACAACAACCGCAACTGTAACGTCAACGCGTTTAACAACGTCATCAGCTAGCAGCGCAAACAATACTTCTGCCGCTGCGCTGCCTGAATAAAAGAACAAAAACAGTGCAGACTGGTATGGAGCGCTACATCCAAATCAAAAGGAAGCTGAGCCCCCTAAACTCTCAACGCAAAATAACCCGTGGCAATGCTAACATAGCTGCAATAGAAATGCCCATGAACTCAAACAGTTTTAAAAGCTTGGCAGACTATGAGGATGACGCCGAATCTACAGAAGTTGAGAAAAGAAAGCCTAAGCCCCCGCCAATTTTTTTTTTTTTTTTTTTTTTTTTTTTAACTTTGCTTTTATTTCTTGAATCTTCTCTTTGCGAGACTAACAAGAGGTGTATCAAATCTTATATTTTTAGCTTAACTAACAGTCATATTGACTGATACGGAGTTAGACGGCCCTAAAAATCGATTGCTGGGTTGGGAGGTCGTTGCGTCTAAGGCGGGATACGCTAGAAACCCGAGTCAATCCCCGAGCGAGAAAATTTGGGTGCGAAGACAGTTTTTCTTTGTATGACTCTTTTTGCTTCTGGATTTCGTCTTTCACTGCGAGGATGCCCAGATGCCGGTGGATGTTTTCGTTGCGAACATACCAAGGTGCCTGTGATAGTTCTCAAGATTTTTGATTGTGCGCGCTGTATGATGTCTATGTTGCTGCTTTTCGCGTTTTCCCACAGCTGGGAGCCATACGTCCAGATTGGCTTTAGGACTGAATTGTACAGTAGTAACTTGTAGTCCAGGCACAGTGGCGATCGTGAGTTTAGGATCCAGTGGAGGCTGCTGGCTTTCAGTTTTAGGTGCATCTTTTTGCATTCGATGTGCTTACGCCAGGTAAGTCGTCTATCATGGTGAACGCCAAGGTACGTTACGTCGTTAGCTTGAGGGATCTGCATACCGTTTAGTAAAAGCGGAGGGCATGTTTGTCTATTAAGAGTAAACGTTATATGTTTACACTTTTGTTCGTTTATTTTAATGCGCCAGTCGGACAGCCACCTTTCCACTATTGTGAGATGATTAGCCAGTTGGTTTGTTGCCTGCGTTGGGCATCTGGAGCGACTAAGGATAGCGGTATCATCGGCGAACGTTGAATATCCGCAGTATACTTACAAAACCTATCGACACGGGCCGAGTGCGCTTCCTTGTGGAACTCCAGCTTTGATAATGAAGTCGCCCGAAGTACCTGCCTTGCATATCACTGAGAATACTCTATTGTAAAGGTATGATTCCAAAAGCTTGTGGGTGTATGTTGGCAAATACGTTTTAATTTTGTGCATAAGTCCAATGAGCCAAACTTGGTCGAAAGATTGAGATACGTCGAGGAAAATAGCGCTGCAGTATTCTCGCTATTCGAAGGCTGAGCGTATTTCGGATGTTAATCTGTTCACTTGTTCGATGGACCTCTATAGCGCATTTTGGAAGTTCGATCAGCATCTTTGGGGTCAATAGGTCATCACCAGGAGCCTTTTTTGGTTTTAGTCCTCATGACTTTTTCGATTTCGTTCGGCCGGAATGAAGGTGCGGCTGGCTGAGGGGAGGACTCTGGCTGAATTTCTGGCAGGAGGAATGAATTTGAGGCTGGGTTTGGCTGGAAGACACTTTGGAGATGTGTGGCGAATTTTTCAGCTCGGTCTTCGTCACTGCTAGCCCAGCATCCCGAAGAGTTTCTTATCGGGGTGGTCGTTTCAATTGGGGCGCTAAGATTTGGGTGGGCCCTCCACAGGGGGTACTTTGTGCTTGTTGGCGAGAGATGCTGGATGTACCTCAGCTGTGCATTTTCTTCCTGTTGGTGAAGAGCCTGGTCGAGTGATCGGGTTGCTTCCTTAAGGCGTTGTTTTGAAGCTGGTGATCTGCTGTTTTGCCAATCACGACGCGTGCGCCTCTTTTCTCGCACGAGCTGTTCGATTTGCTGATTAGATTTGAAGTGTTTGTTTCGGTCTACATCTTTCCTATGAGGAGTAGAGATTTTAGCTGCCGCAACGAGTACTTCTTCCAGGGCTCTCGTAGTGTAGTCGATGTCCGATTCCATGTTAAATTCCGGGGCGAGTTCTATGTGGGCACTCACGTACTTTTTGTATTTTAACCAGTTCGTTTTTAGCGTCGTCAGGCTGAAGGGGTGTTCGGTTATTTTTGGGCTTTGAAGAAGCGTTAGAAGCACATGCGAGTGTTCTGATGATAAGCCCGAGACTGCTTTGGCACTTATTAGATTGCGAGGAATGTTATTTGTCACTGCAAAATCAATATCAAAATCAGTCTTCATCCAGCTTTCTTTGAGTTCGGACGTCTACTTTTTCGCTCATGTCGCCTCTCGTTTGCACCGAGTGCAGTGCAGAAGTTACTGCTACCCAACTTCGTGGGTGTGAGGCCGTTCGGTGCGCGTCGATCTGCCGGCGTGCCTATCACACCGCTTGTGTTGATTTGCCCTCGGAGGCTATAAAACTACTTATT